CCATCGTCTCAACTTTGTCTGCTTTGTCTTCGGCTTCCTCCTCTTGTGGAACTGGTTTCACCCCCGCTGTCTCTTCCCCGGGACTGGGGCTCAAGAGGTCCTCAGAGGACGAAGATGTGGGAACCTTTCCCCCTATCCTGCTCCGGTAGTTTCCACAAACAGGAGACTGTCGTGAATCATCCTCACTGACATCACCTCCATGGCGGTGGAATCCGTCTGGTGAGTAGAGGGCTCGCCTACTGACTCCTCTGTAGGGCACACCCTGGTTGTGGTGGTCAGCATTTTCAAAAACAGCACTGAGCTGACTGACAGTCGGTGAGGATGCCTCTGTTCTGGAGCAAAGCGAGTCCAAGGAGTCTGTACTGCCTCGATTGGACCTGGCCCCTCGCCAGTCATCAAGGTGCTCATGGGAACCTCTTTTATCACGTCCGTAGGGAAAGACTGGTGATTGGGACTGGTCACGTGACTGCTGCTCAAACAGCTTCCTGGTTTCAGAGAACTTTGCTCCAGCGCCTCCAACCCTTTCAGCTGACGAGGAATGCTGGAGTTTGATCACTGAGCCATCAGCCTTGTTGATGAAGTTGGTGGGCTTGACCAGCTTTTGTGGCGAAGAATCTTCTCGACCCCTTGTCTTAGATGCTGAATTTTCTGAGCCCATCTGCATGAACATGTCCTTAATGCGGCTGACATGGCTGCCATACTGACGACCCCTTGGTTGTTTCCGCTCAAGGTCTTTGGGCTTTGAGTCTCCATCGATCCGAGGCTGGTCAAAGGCCCTCTTGAGTGCCTGAAACTCAGCCCGATAGGCATTACGGTGGGGGGAGGCACTCCGGAGGCTGGTCCTCTCCCCCGAGGCCTCCGTCTTCAGCATGATGATGTCTCTGGATGCAGAGGAGATGTCAGCATTGCCGTGGCCTCATTAGAACGTGGGAGTGAGGAGTCAAGTTTGCCCTACTGCAGCGCTGCCTAATCTTTCAAAGATGATGTTTTAGTTCTTTTAGGCCCATTCACACCTGTGAAGATAAAGAATTGACATTTGTTAAAATAGAAGCATTTTGTAAAACTAAGAGATTATGTGAGTTCAAGAGAGATAACTATTTAACCATGAACACAAAGAGATCACTTTAACTGAAAGTGGCACTCTCACATTAAAATGATGATTACAAAGCTAGAAAAGAGATAATTTTCACCTTCCATCAATAACACTATTCAGAAACGTGTGAAATAAAAAAGCTCTTAGTACAAGAGAACTACTTGTGAAAGCCGACTGGCCTCTAAAAGCACTGTGATGAAGTTGTCTATTCAGCACTACTGTGCTGTTTACCTTCTCAAATCAATGCTGTACACCAGATGTGATCTCTTTGTGTTTAAAATTATGTTATACCGTTTTCCCCCTCTCCCCATCACTCTGTTTTCTATAGTGAGCTGTGACCCATGTACACTGCCACATCCCGCAGCTTTCCAAACCATCACTGACATTATGTTGGGTCCTATTAAATGTCAGCACTCAAACAAAGCAATGCATGGTAGTTTGAGCCTTTACTGCACAGAGAAAATGTTGTTGAACGCACCAAAAGATGCAACAATTCATGATCATTAAGACTTGCAGTTTAAATGTTGTCTCTGCCCTCTGCCCACCATAATACAGGGTTAGAGCAGGTTAGCAGGCTAGTATGGTAGTTAAATATTACATACCTACAGCCAGTATTATTTAATGCTGTTTGAAAATGCATTTCAAAGAGAGGGGAATGAAATATGACACAATAAAGTCAATTTAAAATCATTAATCTAAGTTGTAGTGAAACCCACAGCCTGGGCGGTATGGATGCAGTAGCAGCAGCAGTGGCTCAAACCTAAATGTCCTGGTTCAGTATTCAGTATTCACCATGCTGGACTCTTTCTGGTCTATGAAATCGTTGGGCAAAAAAAATCCGTTTGAACTTGAGGAACAGCCTGTGCTGCTTCGGAGGGTATTGGACAGAGGAAAATAAAGTTAAGAGGTGATGGATGAATTTGAGGCTTTAACGTTGTGTCAGTGGGATCAGACAAACAGGCAGAGCCGCACATCAGCCACACCGCACACAACATGATGACAGCTCAGGTTTACCGCTTCTCACACTGTTTACCATGTATTTATTTAAATGTGTCCCCTTGAACAGATTTCTGAGGGGGCAACAACTGATCTTTCTCAATAATTGCCCAAAAAAAACAAACAAAAAAAACAAAACAAGTTAACTGTTTACCACAAACCACAGCGATGTTGCCTCAATGTTGCAAAAAACAAAAGGGTCAGACTTACATTCATGGCTCCGGCTTCGTTTGACGCGTGATAGAAATAAACAGTAATCCAGAGGGCAAACTGGTGGAAAACAAGGATGCTCTCGCTGCAAACCCTTTCGAACAATAACATAGCAACCCCACGCTCGGAAATAGTCCGGGACGGAATCGCCACTATAGAAACGTTTGGACATACTCGAGCCGCTTCAACGCCATTGCAGGCAGTGGGTGATGCTGCCAGTCGCACAATAGGGGTGTCGGTGCAATTTGGCAGCTCCTCTCACTGAAAGCTGCACTGTGGCAGCGTATGCAAGACGCCAGCGTCCGATATACGTCTGCAGTGTAGTAAAGTGAACGTACTTAGCTATAATGATAGCCAGTGATTTGCAAATGTAAAGCCTCATGTGACAGGTGTTAAAACCTGAACTGCGGCAATGGTTTGGTCCGATAATCTGCTGCGCGGAGGGGGTTTCAGTGAGCTGCAGTCTGGCATAAATACCAGCACACAGCAACTGTAACTTCACTGGCTGCTTGTTGTTCATCTGTGGGGTTTGGGTGTGGTAGAGGGTCAAAGACCAGTCTGGCTGTGTGATGGGTGTTCAAATTAGGGTTGCCCAAAGTGCGGGTTGAGGACCACCAGGTGGCCTCCAGGAGTTCACAGGTGGGGTAGAGCCAGACGATTGGGTAAAGTTGCTCTCCACTGTTCACTCCTTAAAAGTCAGTCTAATGAGAAAATATAAATGAATACAACATTTACTCCCTCAGTCTCATCAGTCTATATATAGGTGCAGCTGGCCTTTAATTCAGTTGATGGGGCAGAAGTTTTACAGAGACTGCAATGAAATGAAAAATATTAAAGTTGGCTATTGAACACAGTAAAGTCTATCTCACACATTCACCATGACTAAATGCATATTCACACTATGAAATTATCTCTAAAAGTTTGCAGTCTCTTTCCTAAATTAATCCATTAATATTTTAACAGTCTTCTAATAAAGAAGATCAGAGTGTAAAAATTCTAGCTGGCTGGGTCACACAAGAGTCAACAGACACCGCCTCAAACACGGGACTGAATCCATGTGATAAAGTATTAGAAAGGAAGCCTTGTCCACATCCAAATGTGTGATTATTTTAACCAACAAGACAGAGTTATATAATTCATTCTGATGTGTTATAAAACATGGCATTGTTGCTTACGTACAAAAGTATGAATCAATTTGGATAAGGCACACCATTGGATAAACACGTTACAGTTTCATCAAATTTGAATCAAAAAGTGAATTATCAGGATCAAGCATGTGCATGTGTGATTTTTATACTTGAATTTTATCTGTCACCTTGTCAAATAAATCCCATAATATAAATCTTATTTATAAATGTGTGCAGTCAGACAATTTAATCTGCCATTATATGCCATTTACATTATTATGTAATCTGAGTCCATGCTAGATGCACTTAAGGCGCACGTACGTTATGTATTTGGCTGATTATTTCAAATAAAGTATCTATCTATCTATCTATAGCCAGTCTAATTTTTTAGTACCAGCTGCAGTGCAATGACATGCATCTTCCATTTAGAGTATAAGTGAAATATTATATTAAAAAAATACAAACTTTGTTGAAAATACAGTATTGTTTTTCAGTGAGGTACACTGTATCTGTTGTACTACAGAAGCTACACTCTGTCCCTTAAATGCATTTAGAAAAAGATCTAAATGCTGAGAGAGGATCCAGAAAAAACATAGGAGATATGAGCAATTATGATTTATCATTTCAGTTCACTACTAAACACGAGCAAATTCGGGAGAATTGCAGTGTAAACTGAAACAGAACAGACTATCAGACCAAATCAGAGTCAAATCAGACACATTTGGCCATTACCTCTAATGCCAAGAGGGAAATGCTGTATTTCCCCAGCCTTAATTACTATGCATCTTAGTGCATGTATAGATCTATAGTGAATGTTGTGATGCATTCATACCCAGTCCAAACACTGACTATGTGAAGATGTTGCTAAGCAACCTAAAAATAATCTTAAGGGGATAAAAGGGAGGGTGAAAGAACAGAACAGCCACGCACTGCAGAGCACAGAGGATGGATGGCATCCTGTTTATCACCACAGAGGAAGAAATGAATCCAGTTTTAATATCAAATAAGAGCCACGCGGTGACCACTGTCAGCATGTTAACCAGAATTAGGATGATTTTCTGCAGGATCAGAAGTACTCACTCAGTGGTGGCTCACATCAGTGGAGTATGAGGGGCGAATCAAGAGTCCTGCTGCCCTTTAGCTGGCCTGACTGGGAGCCAAGGGGCCAAAACATGACCATCTGTCTGCTACTACTGTCTCTGCAGGGGGTCTGGACAGATTGGAGCACACTGCTCAAACATGTCTGTGCCCTCTTACAGCTGGGCTCAGGAGGTCAAGCCCTGGGTGGGGTGAGGGTTTGTGTGTGAGTAGTGGGTGTGTCTGTTTTTCTGACATCATGGAGGGTTAAATAATCCATCATTAAACATTCATCAAAATGTACCTTAAATCTGAAGTGGACTTTGTGGACGACTAAATGTAAGTGACAATGAAATCACATCTGCACGTTGACCTAGATGACAAGGACACAGACAGTTCAACAGAAAGGCAGACTGACACTGCTTGAGTTTGATATACAGGCAGACCAAATTAAAAAATCGTCGTCAATCTCGAACATCACACGGAAATATTTCCTGAAAGGTGTGGCGCTCATGATTGTGATTCACATCTCGTTTTTAGCCCATGTTTTACGAGACAACCATCTTTTTCCATCCAGATGTTCAGCCAATGAGAAGTGCAGTTTCCAGTGAAGGAAGGAGGCGGAGGAAGGAATGCTGCAGGATGCTTATTATTATGGCTGTCAAACCCAGTGGCTATTAGATAAAACATCCATTTTCATGTAAGATTTACGGGGATGATGAGCACCATGTCCGCTGCAGCTGTCGCGGTATGGCTTGGTACGGGTACGTATCGATTAATGGCGGAATTGTCAGGATTTTTTTTCTCGCGTTTGCTTTTGATGCCGTATCCATGCTAGTTAGCTAGCGAGTTAGCCAGCTGCTGTTTAGCCGCAGTGCTCATTTTTTCCAAGCGGCTGAGGAGGAGACATGGAAAAAATGGCTAACAATAGACAGCTATACCGTTATACGGTCTGAGTGCCTTAGGGTTCGACCCAAAATGTGTGTTTTATACAGTACCTTACATCTCTAGCGAGGAATGTACCGCTAACGTTATACGTTGTCTTGCTAGTTCTTGTCAGTCGTTCACTCAGCTTTAATTTCCTTTGGGAAAACAGACCGTTTCCCCTCGCGCAGGCCTGTGTTTATATGTAGAACAGGTGTATTATGAATGCCTAATTAAGTAGTGTAGCAGCTCCAGTTATTCTTAATGACGTAAGAGGAATAAATGAGATAATATTATAATATTGCTGCATTTTGTGAAGCATGCACAGTAACAGCATCCCATTTGTTGCAGCTGCTTTTCACTTGTACACACATTATTTGGAGGGAAAATATACACCCAATTTATTAGACCACTGAAGCTGATGTAGTCTCAGTCATCAGAAAAGCCCCGAAATGAATTCTACCTTCATGAAGTTTTTAATGTTACATGTCCTTGTATTTCTAATGGTACAGACCATAAACCCAGCCAGAAATCTGAAAGTGAGACATGTCACTTCAGGGGCAGAATACGTTTTTGATCTGATGCTATGTTATGAACTATTCAGACCTCTTATGCCATCTGGAACAGGTTTCCCACTGTCCCAGGGCTAAAACAAAACATAGAGAAGCAGTGTTCAGTTTCCATGCTCCATGTATCTGACACAAACTTCCTGAAAACTTCTTTTTTATTGAGGCTTGAAACCTTTGCATTTGCCACTGTCTATTATTATGCCAAATTTGGGGCTGTTTATGTCTCACTACACTGTAACTGCATTGTACTTTTTTATGTTTTTGTTCACTCTGTTTAATTTTAGTTCATTTTTAATCCTTACTTTATTCCTCTTTAACTTCAGACGGTGGGGTTTATGTCAGGGCTGTTATTACACTGCATTAGTTTTAGTTAGGTGTACCAAACAAACTGGCAACCTCATGTATAGTTCAGAATGCCCTCGAGAGACACATTTGTTCCATTCATGCTTTTATTCATTGATCCAATAGTTTACATTGCACATGCCTATGATGTGAAACACAGCGCTTTACATGAGAGACATGTCCACATGGAGCGATCCATGGGCTTGAAGCAGAGAACAACCATGTACAGAGATGGTGAGTCGCGGTGTGCAGTGGTGCACTTCATGTGTTGACCCGCTGTCCCCTCCCCCATGTCATAACACAGTGACACGCTCAACTGGTTTCCCATTAATACTGGCATAATTGTTTGCAATTGTCTGCAGTCTCACAGACTTGGCCCACTTACTTCTGTCGTAACAGTAGTTTACTGAATTTATATTTTGTCTAAACCTTTTCCTTGCTAGACTTAGAAGTTATCCTAAATCATTAACTATGTGACAAAAGACTGTTTCCTCTGTTAAACATATGATACACAGATTCAACAATGTAGGTGACGAATAACTTCTCAACAATTGACAAATAAGTAATTTGCTTACCGCTATAGATTCCTAGAGCATTGATCTGGCTGTTTGTTGTCCACTCTTGTCTTCAGTCATCTTCTTCTGCTTCTTGTGATACCAGCTACTTTCACTTCCAGGTTTGTGCCTAGAACAACAAGGCTCAAACTCATCGCAGGCAGAATACCAAAGCCTTGATCCTAACAGTAGCAATCCTTGTTGTCTGTGCTTCCCCAGCAGACACCAAAGAAGCACATGCGTTCCTCCTGACCTGGACTACATGCATAGATGAAACTGATTCAGCAGATCCAAAGGACTTCCCTGTCCAACTGACTGTGCCTCTGCTAGCTAGAGGCCTCAGTTAGCTAGAGCTATTAGAGGGACAAGGCTGGTTTATTCTCTCCACGTTGCCAATGGCACTTTTAACTAAAACATCACTCCTGAGACTTCAGCCAGCCCAAGGTCAGCTCAGAAAAGCATAAAATCTGGTTAGCCATTTCCACCGCCCCCCCAAGGCCTGTTAGTCATGTAGTGTATGGACATGTGCGAAAGTGGTGTGTGTATTATTATGTGTCCTTTATAGATAATACTTGAATTCTAGTACGTATGTGAGCACAATTATTGCAAAAGTGTAGCTTATTTTGTGCATTACAATGCACATCTCTGTCTCTACATTTGTCCTGCAACTGGAGCCGACTGGTTAGTCTGCAGTGGACAGTTTAGTATTAACCTTTAATTGGTGATGTATTATGTACTGTAAGAGTGCTGCAGTTCATCATCTCGAGAAAGCCTGGCAGAAAGTCAGCTCGCTACAAATAAGCAGATCTGATGCTATTAGCAGAGCCTTGGTGTAGCTTAGTCAGTGATCTTTACTTATACTGGCTGCTCACTAAATGGAAGTGACTGCGATCAAAGGTGAGAGTGACACATAGTCCAATAGGAACCCATATGCTAGACTGGCTAACATAAGGCAGCCAGGAGTGTGTGTGTGCGTGATTGGCCAAAATGGTTGTTGTTGCATCAAAGCTTTAATGTTGATAGGCTAAAACACATTTCAAATCCCACAGGTCGTTTCTTATTCCTCCGACCATTAGGTGAGACCAGGCCATCTGGGCTCTCTTCTATGTCCTGCCTGTCTCATCTGTGGACGTGTCACAAATGTTTACACCACATCCAGTTGGTCTTTAAGTAGAATAGAATAGCTGGTACGTGACCTTGACCGGGACTGTGCGACCGTGGTCCTTTGTGTGGGTAAGAATTGATGAGGCCCAACGGTTGGGTAATAGAAACTGAGAGTGTGCATTCAGAGTGGGATTTGCGGATCGACTGAAGTCATCACAGAGGGCGCCACCGGTGTGCTGAAACCGAATTAGGTTTTATTCTTGGTCTCTGAATAACCTAGATCCTAATATCATGGGTGCAGTGGTAGCAGCAAGAAAAGCTATTGCATGGATTAGTCATGCGCAGGTGGTTCCCTCAATCTGTCCTTGGAAAGAAATGTTGTGGATGTAACCTCAGGTTTCTGTAAGTACCACCACATTTAGTGGCCGCTAAATGCTATTGATTGTATCTAGCTGTGATCAAGCCCCCGGGGACATAGGACATATGGCCAGTTCAGCGTCTCCGTTTGTGGCCACAGATGAAGCCCAGTTTAACATACATATGGGGCAGTTTTATAACTTTACTCTTTCAACAGCTCATCAGTGCCAGACTGCAGTTAAGCAATTTGGCCTCGTAGATGTGGACTCCCTTAATAGGAGCTTACTGTGTCACCTAATCTTCTTTAACCCCTTTGTGCACCCTGGTAATAGATAACGCTTAACAATCGAAGATCACATACGGACTTCTTCTTTCATGGACACGGATTAAAATGTAAATCCTGCTCTATTACTCTCTTCAGCAGAGACTCTCCCTGGAAATCAGCTACTGTTCCTGGAGAGGGCTCACACTGCATACGTAGAGGGCCACTTAATTTTGATGATGCCGATGATATTGATGTAGAATATGTTAATTTGTTGTTGATGAAAAGATGAAGCAGGATTTGTAAAATGGTGTAAATAAGGAAGGCACATTCAGCCTCACAGCTTTCCTAGGCCTTCCTCTAGCTGCTTAATGCGTCTCGAGTTGTGTCCGCAGGCGAGAAGAGTTCAAACTCTCTCCCTCTCTTGTACTTCATAGCACAGATCTCCAGTTTTCTCTCCCTCCTTCTCTCACCCCCCACCCCCTTCCTTGTACATTCAGTCTCCCATGGTGATTAAAAATTGAGTGCCCACCCAGTGAGGGAGGGAGAAGGGGGGAGAAAAAAAAAGTGAGAGGAGAAAAACGCTGCGCAAAAATGCTGAGATCTTGAAAGAAGACAAGTGAGCAAGAGAGAGTGAATTAGTGAAAGAGAAAGATGCAAAAAAAAGAGGGAGAGAGCTGGCTAAAGCACCTCCGGTCTTACATTGTGCAAACTTTTCTCAAGGGGGCTGCCATTTTCCTAGCAGTGCCCTTCACAAATAAGGACTAAATGTTAGCGTTTGAAATGGAGTGGGGCTAAACAAGAGGGCATAATAGAGACAGAGTAGGAGGAGGGCATGAAAAAAACTCAGTACAGTCTGAATGAGGCTCATTACTGCTGGTTTTACTCACAGTACCTCGGCTACTTGCCATTGAAATTCATTGGTTTAACAGCTTGTCATCCTATATACAGAATTATAGTGTTTCTGTCAGAGTTTTTGCCTTTGTGTTTGGCTGTTTCTAGACTGCAACCATGTATGAAGCGCATGTTTTGTCCTTCCAAAGAATAAGAATACAAGAAAATTAGACAAATCTATCGTTGTGAGCTGGATCTCAAAGTGTGAAGGAGTTTAGCTGCTGATACCAGTGACCCAAATGTTTTCTTTATTTGTTTGTTTTCACCTTAGCGCCTTCTGTTCTTCTTTAATTAGTGCTGCTGGTCCTTAATGATGAATAACACACACACACACACACACACACACACACACACACACACACACACACACACAGAACAGGAAACATTCTTCTCAGGAGCTAATTTTCTCTGTTTGTTTGAAATCTGTATTTCAGTGGTCACCATCTTGTCGAGGTCTCATGCGGACCGTAACGTCTACCCATCTGCAGGAGTGCTGTTTGTCCATGTTCTGGAAAGAGAGTACTTCAAAGGAGAGTTTCCTCCCTACCCAAAATCAGGTACTACAGCATCATAGCCCCACTTTGTGGCACTTTGTTATAGTAATTGATAAAGACAAGTTTTTGTGTTTAAGTATTTGATTACCTTAATGTCATTCAAACATTTGTACCCATATAAAACATAATTACCATAGTACATTGTTAATACATCATATATCACAAGTAGAAAATGCTTAGCTGCAGTTGGCAAAACTTCTATAATTCACCTAATGGCTCTAAATGTACATTACTGAATTGGTTGTGACCCATAACAGAACAATCGAGTGCCCGCTCATTAAACTGCTCTGCTTGCAGGTGACGCCAGCAATGACCCCATAACTTTCAACACCAACCTGATGGGCTACCCAGACAGGCCAGGCTGGCTGCGTTACATCCAGAGAACACCGCACAGCGACGGAGTGCTCTATGGCTCCCCCACTGCAGAGCACGTTGGCAAGCCCACCGTCATAGAGGTGGGTGGCTGGACCGCTTTCAAACTGAAAAGAGTGGAGATGAAGTAATTTGTGCTGCTGCTTATTATGTCAAGGAAGGAAAAGGAATGATCCTTTTAGTGCTAAAATGTTGAACGAAATGAAGGCATTAAATGAAAAGAATACATCATGTTCAGTCATTTAATTGGGAGACAATATCAAGTACTTTGTAGTCTTAAACAAGGCACACATAAAGCTACACATTAGCTTTATGTGTAGCTTTATAGTTACACATTTGGATTGATTTCTACTGAGTTCAGCCAATTTGTGTGCACGCAGCAGTAGTATGGTACAGTGTTATGCTTTTGAGTCTTCAGACTTAAATTCCATTATATTTCTATATGCTTTCTTTGTCCCCTGTAAGCTACTGCAGAAATTCCTTTCCCAAAAGGCTTAACGTTCCCAGCGGTGCACATGTGCCTCTATACAGTGTTTCAGTTGGGTACAGAGCCTGCGTAGTGTATCTAGCTCAGCCTTGTCCAGAGGGCTGCTGCCATATAAGCTGCACTGATCTGGGCTTAAACTTTCACCCCTGTGTGTTGCAGATTACTGCCTATAACAGACGCACTTTCGAGACGGCACGGCACAACTTGGTCATAAACATCATGGCCACAGAAGGTAAGAGGCGCCAGTATGAGAGCTTAGAGTGAGCAGAGATCAGACTGTGCAACTTCCCTGATTAAATCCTGAGGGCACATTCAGTACTTGAACGGAGTAATGGACTTCCCCAAAGAGAAAATTTTGCCTTTGATTACTTTTGTCAGCCAGAACTAATCAATCATTATCAAAGAAAAACAGTATATTGTATTGATCTTACCAAGAGGTCTAATGTACCAGAGGTGCTGTATCTTTTTCATACACCTGACACAATAAAGACTATATTTATCTATCTATACAGTTCTCTCACGTTGCATTATTTATGTAACCAACAATGTTTGTATTTAAATATGCATTGTCGTGCTTATTTGCTAGATCAGTCTTAATGAGCCTCAAAATCCATCGTTGACCTTGGAAACTGTATTTGACAAAATCATTTCACCACAAGGCACATTTAGTAGCTGGTCTGGAGCTTTTGATTATATGACATGTCTTCATCAGCAGATGAGTTTAGAAATTTGAGCGTCTGCACTTCTATGACAATCCATTTGTGGATGAAGCGCATGTTAGAAAAAGCTCTAGAAAAGCTACTAAATGAACCTTGTGGTGATATTAACGGTCAAATCATTTATTGTTATTCTTTAGATAAAGTAAAAGATGGCTCTTAATTGGTACACAGTCTGACACTGACCTTTTAATCACTTCAGGACAGCCATCATAAATCAGTATCATCTGTTATGCCTTCTGCGAACTGTGCAGTCGTGTATTGAAATGTTATGGTTATAAATACAATGTGCAGTATCCTGTTCATCATTGTGACTACACCTCACATCTGTGCATCTATATGTTTGTGCACTGGCTTGTTGACCAGTCACGGTACATGCACTACAATATGAACTGAGTCGGGTGAACGTACAGCAGATGTTCGCGGCGCTAACGTGACATCACTCTCCCTATGCTGTGATGTCATCTGACATCTGGCCCCAGAAGGAGGCCAAGTCATAACAGAGCGGAGCAGACACACCAGCATCTGCTGGACAGACTGGTGAAGTCAGCGTCAACTACTGTACGCTGCAGTAATAAAGTAATAATGATGTCTTAGTCAGCAGAACAGCCCTGCATCATCGCTCTTTTCTCAGGGTTATGGAGTCTAATGGTTCAAGCTCATCCTCCCGGTCTTCTTTCCTACCTCATCTTACTACCTTTCACCACTTTCAACCTTTTATCTAACTTTGTCTTCATCCTTCTGCACAGAGTTCCCTCTGCCCTTCCAGGCTGAATTTTACATCAAAAACATGAATGTGGAGGAAATGCTGGCCAGCGAGGTGCTGGGGGACTTCCTGGGAGCTGTGAAAAATGTATGGCAGCCTGAGCGCCTCAACGCCATCAACATCACCTCGGCACTGGACCGTGGTGGCCGTGTGCCCCTCCCCATCAATAACCTCAAAGAAGGGTGAGGACTGTGGAAGTTGAAATGGACCTGGGTTGAATTTTTTAACAGTTAAAGTGCTTTTCATATCTGAAGGAAAGCTAAACCAAGGTTTTTTCTTTGCAGGAATAAGGCTTAGCTCTACTTGCTTTCCCATTTGCTTGTATTTTAAAAACTAAAGTGTTGTGAATCACACACTCTTAAAGAATCTCTCCATCAACAACCTCTTCACTTCTCTCAATCAAACAAATTGCATATACTTTCAGCCCACTCACATCATGCTAACATTTTATTTAATTGGGGCCTTGGGAATCCTGAGAATTAGACGAGTACACTTGGCCGTCAGCACTGACAGACACTGTCAGTTGATTTAGTTCAGCAGGGAATAGCCCACATGAACTGCCATAAGTTGTGCATCAAAGATTCATGCTGACGTTTTGGAAGATGAAAGCATCTAGGAGAACACTCAGTGGAGAAGAAATGCTCAGAATATTACAAGCATCAGCATAAACATGTGAAGTGAGGCTCCATCTTCTTTTCTCTTCTCTTCTCCTTCTTCTTCTTCTTCTTCTTCTTCTTCTTCTTCTTCTTCTTCTTCTTCTTCTTCTTCTCCTTCTCTCATGCTTTATATTTCACTGTCTCCTCTCCCTAGAGTGTATGTGATGGTTGGTGCTGATGTTCCCTTCTCATCGTGCCTGCGGGAGGTGGAAAGCCCACATAACCAGCTGCGCTGCAGTCAAGAGATGGAGCCTGTCATCAGCTGTGACAAGAAGTTCAGAGCTCAGTTTCACATCGACTGGTGTAAGATTTCTCTGGTGAGGATTCTCTTGAAGATTCGGTCAGGATTGAATTTTGTAGGTTTTTAATGCTGAGGCAACATAAGCTTGTGCTCATGGCTACATAAGCATTGATTTTCAACTTAATCAGCTCACACAGTCTGCTGTTTCATTCACAAACACTGAATTAACTCTCACTTATTTTTTAAGGTTGACATCAACAAGGTAGTGCCGGTATACATTACCCGTCCGGACCCAGGCACAGGGATCCTGCCAGAATTTGGGGAATACAACCCCCCCTCTGAGTCTCTGAAGAGCCGGGACTACTTTTCGGACTTCCTTATCACGCTGGCTGTTCCCTCTGCTGTGGCACTAGTCCTCTTCTTCATCCTCGGCTACACTATGTGCTGCCGACGGGAAGGGGTGTAAGTGTGCTTGGTCTTATATTTTTATGCAATTATTGCACCAAACACCTCAACAAACATTTGAGGAAAGCAGTGAAAAAGTTACTTAAGTATCAAATGAGAGACAGATAGGATTGCGCAAAAATCTGGACTGGAATTGCAGCTTGTCATTACCATCTAGTTGTATCGTCCACATACATCACGTTATCCATAAATTTCTGTCACAGGTTTTGTTTTGTTAATGTTGTCATGTGACGCCTTGATGTTTTGAAGCATAGCCATGACATCGATGATCATTCATCCATGATACATCCTTTCCTCATTCTCCATCATTTACAGGCTGGGAGAGACGTGCCCCCCTCATTCACTCAATGTTCCACACCCCATCAGCATCATTTCCACACTGTCTTTACCCAACAGTCCATTCACTTGTGTTTAGATGTCTCTTTAACTATTAATATTAGTATTTAATTCATCCATTTTGTTTTGTTTCTAGGGAAAAAAGAAACATGCAAACACCAGAGTAAGTGTTTTACCTCTCCTGTGTTTTTCTTGATTTTGGGTCTGTTTCTGTCTCCCCCTCCCCCCTCTCTTTGGTTTGCAGTTTTGTCATCTATGTTGTCACCGATGGCTTTCTCATAACCATTCATATGCTCATCTGTGTGTTGACATCCATTCATCCAATGGGCTGCTCAAAATTTTAATGACCAGATGAAGGGCATTGTTGCTGTTAGCAGTGGCTGCTTTCAATTGTCTCAAATGTCAAAGATTAAGTCAGACACAGTGATAGGTGAGGGTGGATGATTTCTGTTGTGCATGCATGAATTGAGTGAAGATCTCACCATAGCAGATGCAAATCGCTGGCATATTCAAATATTTTAATATACCTTTCCAGTAGATAAAGCATTGCACACGGGATGAGATAAGTTAACACCACCAGAAATGATAACATCAGAAGCTCATGTTAAATTCACTGCCTCTCCCGTCTCCAGCATCCAGCTGGTTCACCACAGCTCCATCCAGAAGTCCACCAAGGAGCTGCGGAGCATGTCTAAGAACCGCGAGATCTCCTGGCCACTCTCCACACTGCCCGTCTTCAACCCAGTCAGCGGTGAGGTGGTGCCGCCCATCCACCCCGACAACTATGAGACCACCAGCATGCCCCTCATGCAGACACAGACGTGAGTGAAGGGATTTGGTGGAGGGAAATAACATTCACACGCTCATATTCATTAGCAAGCACACAGATGCTTGGTTTATAGGCGTCATTATGGGGAAATATAAGTCGAAACAATACCTTTATCGTTTAATCTTGTTTCCAGCGCTCTCTAACCGTGCCGTGTTTACAGCTAAAGCTGCGGCAGGCAAGTCAGGCCTTTGGAAAATACAACCACAGCTTAAGAGGTTCAAGCTGTCCCATGATTTTTGCTAATGGGCTTGATACTCAAAAATTTTAAATACAACACGCTTTCACATGATACTAAAGGCTCTTGCGTGTGAATGTCTGCTCACCATAATATCATTGTTTATTTCAGGAACCTGCAAAATCAGATTACGATACCACAGCAACGGCCATCAGGTTAGTGCTGCCTCCATCTTTCATATTCTAGTCTTACAGTCTGCTTTACTGTACCTGCATGTCTGATATGTAATGGGACTATTTAGCCACATGGTGAGTTAAATACATGAGTAATCCACTTAAAAAAAAAATTGCAGTCTTGCTGAACAGTGCTCCGGCTTCAAGTAATTATAAATAAATATATAGTTTCCTGCCTAATGTTGATCAGGATGTTAAGTGCAGGAAAGCATGTCTCCTGACAGGATTAAGCACATTAGCTGCACAGTAAAATGATGTAGACTGATTTATTACGTCATATTACCATGAATATATTGACTCTTTACTGTCATTAACAATATGCAGCCATGTATATCACTACATAGTTACTTTGCTGTGTTGCTTACGACCTCAGTCTGTCCTTAAACTAACTGTAAAAAAAAAAACAGAAGCATCCAGACTTTATTGAGTCGGACACAGATTGTTGAGAGCTAATCATTCTGGCACCACAAGAAATCAGGCGTGACAGCTTCACTTGTGAACTTTTATGTCAGCCCCTGCAAGAAAGACAACCAGTTCTGGTGTTGGTGTGTGAGCGCCCTCCTGTGTGCATGGTGGTGAGCTGCATGACACACTAACTTGCTGCTCTCTCTGTTCACTGCTAACAAAGGAGATAACTATGTCATGTCAACATTTCGAAGGCTGGAGGTAGGTGCTGCGATCTGATAATTAGCTAATGTAGAGATAATTAAAGCTGAGTTATTTCAATTAATTACGTTGTTTCAGCTCATCTCTTTTGCTAAACAGTACTAACAGCACATGAAAACTTGTACATTAGTTCCTGTCATTTAAAATGTATATATTTTATTGTATTTATTCCAGGTAAATGGTATTCCTGAGGAGAGGAAGGTGGCCGAGGCCCTTAATTTGTGACCAGAAAACACCGGTGTCGGAGCTACCTTTGTTTCCATATCTATATATTTGTTTTTTACCTAACATTTGTGCCAATCTGCATGCCTCAGAAGTGTCTTTACAAAGTTCTATTGTCCATATGCACAGTGTGGAAAAGAACAAAAGAGCTTAGCTGATTATAAAGATACATTACAATATTTTTGAATATATGTGTAAATGTTAAAACTGATGTTTGTATTTCTACTTGCTTTGCACAATGGACCTCTTAGAGGAAAAGGGAGTTTTACATGGAAATGCTTAAATTGTCACTTAATATTAATTTTATGTAATGTGTCATGATGACAATAAAATATTTCAAATTAGTCTTTTTTTACTGTAATGATCTTTTCCCCAATAAACAAGATAATAGTAATGTCTGAATAACATGAGGAAGAAAAGAAGCCAAAAGAGCACATTTTATGAAGGTATTATTAACAATGTACAACAGAATAAAGGCGTTTATAAATAATATGGATACATTTCACATTTTTGAAGACATCACAAAAAATTTTACATATAACATATTTCAAAGAGGACCTGCACAGGGGTATAAATAGTTGTTGCTTTTACACGACCAAAGAGATCTATTAAGGCCTGAAACAATTACCAAATTTATAGCTGTTGATCAGACGAGAAAACGGATCAGTAAACTTTACAAGAAAAAAGAAACTGCAGCATGGAAATGCCATTCTCGTCTCCACAAGGAGGTGATGACTGGTTATACAAATTACAAATTCACTTGGCTCTTGTTCAGTTTGAGAACACAACCTGAACTGTACATAATCAGAGAAATGACAGGAGAAAGCTGTAGACAAATTGTTCCACTGTAAAGAAAATGTCCTTCTTTGTGGATCCATGTTTTTCTTTAAAAGGGAGGCTACATAAACATGTAGAAAACCACTGACACTGCAATCTTTTACTATCCCCCATGGTAGATGAAATATGCAACTCAAGATTTGATGTAATACAGCCTGGCTCTTACAGTATCATTTTTTATTTGCCAAATGATCGTCACAAAACATTTTGATTTACCAAAACAAAATGTGCAGAAGGTATCTGCACTGGTACCATGTTAACCACTGTTTCACCTCAGAGATGAAAGGAAAAATATAGACCTTAAAATAAAAGTGCTAATCTCAGTCAAATGTCTGTTGGGATAAATAGGCAGAGACATCAGCCATTTGTCAGTTGACATAATATAAAATATTTTCCTTAAAGCAACAGTTATATGTCCTCTCAGCTCAGTCAGTGCATTACCAAGTAGTTGTTTTTAAATGTTGATGTGGCCCTGATGCAAAGTGCGTAATGATGGAAGATTGTGATCCCAGGCTGCATCACAGATGTGACAAAGTACACCTGGAGATGTGTTGTATGTATAAGCCACTGAGAGAAGCTGTATGTTCAAAGGCATTCAGTCTAAGTAACCACTTATTCATTCACTCACTGACCAAAAAGTTCACTGGCTGTGACAGCAGAGGGAGCATGTATATTCATCTGTTAGCCCTATTGTACAATAATATGTGCAACCCAGAATTTTCCTACGGAGCTATGAGGCATGTTTTTAATGACAATGAAAGGATAAAGGACTAAAAACACTGCTGAAGCATTACTGTATAAAATAAATCTCTCACTCTATCGTACAAATATACACAGACTATGAAATGAGCTGCTAATAGGCCAGACAGGCGGTAGACTGTAAAGGCTCAACCTCCGCAGTGTGTCTCTGAGGCAGGTAATCATCTATGAGATGCTGGGATGGGTATAAGATCTATGTAATACTTCCTTCACAAACAGCAGTCATGGGCGCAAAGTACAGAAATAAACAAAGCCAAAAAAATGTATAAAATATAAGCTTAATTTAAATCATTAAATACTGTACATATCACATAGAATTTCAGAGCTACAGCAGGTGACCACGGTACCTTTCAGCACAAGGCAAACTTTTTTTTTTTTTTTTTTTAAATTACTCACAAAAACATTAGCAAAAATATGTTGAGGGATATTTCAACATTTTAACAATTGCACTCCAATTTTTCTTTTTTTTACTTTAGTCTTGAGTTTTTTGATCACCCAAACTAGTTGCTGGTCCATATTTTGCATATTTAGATATCTAACACTGTTCTAAAGTCACCAGAAATACTGTACAAAGTAATGCTGATAATAAACTGCAGCACAATTGAACATGTTATCGTAAAAGAGTAGATATCTGAATATGTAGGTTATGGATCCACCTGAGTGAAAATACCTTCAGCTGCTACTGCCATGTGGACGGAGTGTGTGCCCAGTGGTCTCTTCCAAATTGAAGTAATGACAGGAAGTACTGTATGTGACAAAATAAACTTCCTATTTGTGTGTTTGGCTAAATAGAAGCAACGCTGCAAAAATTCACACAGCAAGCACGAGGCGTTGAAATGAGAGGACCTCTTTTTGTTTTAAATTAAACTCCACATCTCCAAGTTTCTCCTATGTTGAATCCAGATAATGTAAACATTTCGAGCGTTATTGTTCTTTTTTCTCTTACCATTTGCACTTAAAAGGAGCAATGTCCTCTTTTCTGGGCATTTTTCTTTTCTTCAGTGTGCGACTTTCACAGCAGTCAAAAAGTACAGACTCTGCTCAAACATGGCCAGCGGTGATCTCCCGTGGGTTCCTTATTGTCGCCTGTGGCCGCCAGTAGCCTCAAACCCCGGGCCTGCTCCTGGCTTGGATCTGTACCTTACTTCAATCTCAGCAGGGGCTTAGCGAGTCTTTTGTGCCCCCCAATAAAGAGGTGTCCATCAGGCACCGGGTGTGGGCTGGCTGCCTCTGGCTAGCAGCAGTACAATCAGACTGAAGAGCCCCACAGCCCCCAGTCTCTTGAGCAGGGCCACGCTGTCTTTGGGGATAACCACCTGGGCCAAGTCATTGGTGATGAGGGAAATCTCATGAGCCACACAAACAAAGATGAAGGTGCTGAGCATGATGTTTAGTGAAGGGTTTCCTGGAATCAGGACCAAAATTCCCTTGGTGTCTGCTGCCAGCCAAATGTGATACTGGCATATGAACAGCTGGGGGAGACAAACAAAGCGTGTTGAATAGTAGGTAATGTAATTCCATTTTAACACGGTTGCCTCCAGAGAGCAGCAGGACATCACATACAGAGCTGGTAAGGATTGTCAGTGGCTTTCTGATCATTATTTGTACTTATATTTTTATTCCCGGTATTTATTAGACTGTTTCCTCATCCTTCTTTAATGTTTTATGGTAGCCTTTGCAAAGCACGTTTAATACATTTTTATAAAGAGCCACATAAATGCATTTTTTATTATCTTATTGTAACTCTACTGGCATGTCCTTCTCACCTCCAAGGAGATCTTTCCAAACCATGCAAAGAAAGAGCTATATATAGAGCGGGCGTAGCCAGGAATGTTCCTGATGAGAATAAAGGCCAAAATCTGTGGAGAAAAAAAGAGAACAAAGCCATTTCTAAGAGTCAAAGCATGAAGACACACTGGGTGTAGTATGATAGGGTCTGCAATCTCAACCGGTTTAGAGGAAGAAAGCCCAACTATATTGTCAGTGACCTTATCTACTGCATTACTTCAAACCATTTCCCAGTGAAGATTGACTCTAGATAATGCCTGTACTATCTTTAGGCCATACAAGGGAACTCCCTTGTTTTTATACACATATTATCCTGTCATGCAATTAGGGTAATGACATCTCAAGGCAAATCCGAAGGGATTACAACTGTAAAACAATACTGATACTCAATCAAAAGCAAAAGTATTAGGATCAACATTAAGGATTAAGATTGCTGTTAAACGCCACATGGCTTAATAACATCAAACACAGACAGGGAACAAAAGGAAAAGAGGAAAAAAGAGATAAGAGAGATAATTACTGTACCTGGACCACAGAGATGTAAGGATGCATCTCGTTGCACTCTGTTTTGGTTTTGCAGCTGCTGGCCCATATTGAGTAAGTCTAGAATGATGGGGAAAAAGAGAAGTTGGGTAACAGTGTTAAATCTTCAGCTGCAGCAAAACTGAATGGGTTGATTTAGTTTGAATAGCCCATGTTCCTATAATTTCCACCTGCTTACGTGGAGTCAACAAAGAACAGAGAGCTGCCTCAGTGCTACACATGAGCTGCCTGATGGTCGTTATCCATGTGAGATGAATAGATTGTCACTAGACTGAGTTCTTGTTACGTTCTGCGCACCTTTCACAAAAGGTGCGCAAAGTCTTAAGTAAGGACATAATTAAGAGCATAAAGAGCAGACAGTTGTGGTTGTCAAGGCAGCTACTGGGTGTGGCATTTATCCAAATACACACCCATCACTGTGTAAACATTCTCTCCCAAGATGCTGTTGTAAGCAAGCATTTTGTTAATCAATTGCAATCAGATGAAGAGTCTTACTATGAAGGAGACAACAGAGAGGAAGAGGAGCAGGTTGGAAATCTTGACAGAGAAGAGAGCTTCTCCTTTGCCCTCTGACAGCACCTGGCGCTTCTGCAGCACCAGATAGATGAAAGCAAATAACATGCCGTGTATCACCGCCTGCAAAAGAAAATTAACGATTTTATCCAAAGTTTAGAAAATTTGGTCTTACTTGAAAAAGCTTCTGATATACTCTGCCACGCATTACATTTCACAAAACATGTTCATACAGCAGCTACTAAACTTGGGTGCATGTGGAACGAAACACATTTGACTTACAAATCGGTCCAGCTTCCATCTGAACCACCACTCGTGGATGCTTCCGTTCAGCTCAAAGAGCTTGGAGATGGGCCACATGGAGAAGATGCTCTCAAAGAAACCCTGGAGTCACAAGGCCAAAACATGAATATTACATGGGGTCTCAAACAAAGACCAAACCATGAATTTGAGAAAGGGACCGACAATTTGTGTCTACACTACACTGACAACCCATTCAGAATTTGAATGCACACTCATCCATTTTGCCTTATTTAGGCTAAAAACAAATGTAATCAAATACAGTATTCTTGTATTTGAAAGTATTTCCTGTCTTTCAAATTGTGCTGAAAGAAATGATATTGACGTGTCACCATTTACACTTCACACATGAAATTGTTCATATGAAATCAATCTAAAACCTGTAATATAATTTCATTTTGTTTTACAAACTCAGACTAGAGTGAGGTTACAGTCACTACTGATAAGATTAAATTCACCCACCTGTGAAAAGGCAAAGAAGCATATGAACAGAAGGAGACCAAGTAGTTTTGCCAGGACCCCGAGGTGCCATATACCGCTACCTGTTCAGAGAACAAGACAACCATTAGTGACATTGTTTTCTAAAAGAAACCCTGCTGCTGACATTTATGACAAGTACCACTTTTATTGTGTAGAATTAATGCATGTATTGATTCACATAGTAAATGACTATGAAGCAAATGAGCTAAACAAATTCGGTAACAGTTTTAAACTTTCATCAGTTGTCTGACACCTACTGTTGGCTTTCTTCTGCAGGATCTGAGGCCACATGGCCAGTGTAGCGTAGATGACGACAAACCAGAAGGTGACCAGTGGGACAAAATAATAGAATTGATAGGGTCTGTCCATCACCACACACAGCACCAAGACCAGGAAGTTTAGACGGAAAAGCACCTGGGGTGGAAAAAACATGAAAACACAAACTTAAATAAATCAAAAGCATCACACTGAAAGTGTAAGTAAGTGTGTAGGTAAGTCCAAATCTAATACCTGTATTTTTCTTATCATCAATAATATGATACAGTGGAAACCATTTTATAGTGATCACATCTGTCCTTTTTCTTTCCTTCTCATGTAGATTACCATCCAATTGACATTTGTTTATTAATGACATGAATATTAAGTAATGAAACAGACAGCTTCACTACTGAATGATTTAAAGACAAAATAACAAACAGTGCCATGGCCCTCTCCTGCTCAAAGCCTTGTCTGAATGGTCATGCCGAAAGCATTACAATCCGTTCACATAACATACCTGCTGCTGTGAGACAGCAGGACGATAATTACACACAGTAAAAGTCCTGAAACGCGAGCAGAGAAGGAACAGGGGGCAAAATAACTCAGTGAGCCATGGCAGTGAAAATATCACGTTGTGCCAATGCGCAAAGCAAGTGCATGTAGACACACAGTGAACTTATGTTGGGAGAGCAGGCAGGGACAGTCATTACACACTGTGGCTCCAAAAACCTCATACAAATAGATTAGAAGAGAGCCTACGCATATGGCAGCTTGCAGTAGTAGGCTACTATTTTTTCCTCATATGTTGTCTTGTATGAAAAGACCCAAAATGAACACCGTAAGCGGACTACTTGATTATTATAAGCAAATTATTTAAACAGCATTTGTAAAGGAATGATTTTGTCCTAAGCTTTTTCATCCATATAAGTGGTTTTTCACTGTAACCGTGATCACTGTAAGCAATTTCCACTGTATTTCATGTCAAAGCACTACCATGAGTCACTGCAAGAAGCTGGTTAAAGTATAACTGTCTGTGCCCTCACCTGGCACACTCTATACAGTCCAAAGTCTCCTTTGAGCCAGAAAAAGGAAAAGTGTCCATAGCCAGTCTGAAAAAGGTACGCTGCCACCAGCACCCGCACGTGCATGTACACTGGAATGAACTTAAAAAGAAAAAAAAATCAATTTATGCCATCAAATATTGATATACACCTCCTCCAAGCAGGTTATTCCCAAATGTATGTGGAGAAAACATATTTAGAACTCACAGCGCTAGCACCAGATATGTGATAGATGAGGATGACAAGCTGCATCCAGCCTTTCCACTCATCTGTCTGCTCTCGGTTGAGTAATTTGGTCTGTGCAGAAGAAAATTGAAATTGTAAACCAGATATAAATTCGCAAACTTTAATCAAACTTAATGCATCACTACAGACAGCCAGATTAATCTGCTTGTCAGGGAATTTCACTGTTTCCTACTTATTTAAAAACTTTTTTTTAAACTTTTACTTTTCCCTATGAACTCAGAGTTCAACAAAACTTTTACATACAGTTAAAAGTTTTGTTGAACTTGAGCTCATATGACTGTATAATAATGTCAGTCAGTCATCCAGCAATCAAGTTAAAGCTCACCATATGTTCAAACTATATTCACACAAGGATGTGCATGAGGCAGACAAAAATGTATACTTTCAGAAAAATGTATCTTTTCAACACCAAGAGAGAATGTACTGGACTTAATTCTATGTTGAAATAAGACATCAAACAAAATATATACTGCACTGAACAGCAGGTCCTGTCTTACCTCCTTGCTGTTCTCACTGTAAAACACTCCCAAGACAAATATATAGATGAGAGGGATGAAGAATGTGGAGTGTGTGTAGAACTTCTGCTCTTTCATGAAGACATCTGCTCTATCACAAAGGTAAAAATAGCCCATGATGATGCCCATCCTGCAGAGCGCCTGGAAGGGCGCCTTCGGGCCCAAGGGGACAGCTGCAGTCGCTGGCTTCTTCTCCTCTAGGCTCTCCACATCAGGGGGCACAGGTCGGCGGTGGCGGTTGTTGCCAAGGACGTGGAGGATCAGGAAGACCAGGGCTGAGCCCAGGAAGAAACACGCTGACAATTTCTGGAGGAAGTTTGGGGGTGGTAACGTTTGGCAGCAGGATCCATCTATGGGCCTCAGTAGCTTGTTGCACACAGAGTTCATGAGGACCATGGCCCCCTGACAGGACAATTACACAGGATGGTGAGGAGGAGATGAGTAATATTCCAAGTTAAAAATACAACAGCTGTGCTGCCATATTGAATAGAACAATATATTTGCCAATAAATAACATCAAATTAACAGAAATCCTGCCTACCACGTTCCTGGTGCTCTCAGGCAGGTGCAAGCCATCGTCTGACAGGGTGATCGTTTCCAGTGCCGCCTGACGCGACGCGGCCAACAGCTTGACCCTGGACCTGCCGTTACGCTTGCTGCTGTTGAGCACATCTGCTGCTGCTTCATTGTACAGCTCCAGCTGCTGGTTGGTGATCATTTTCCTGTTCTCACTCAACACCTCCTCATTTACTGGGTCTGTTGAGTGGAGGTGTGATGGTGTTGCATGCAGTGTGAGAAAAAGGTTTAGTTGAGAAGGTGCATATATGAGAATATACAGTGGCAAGAAAAAGTAAGTGAACCATTTGGATTTACCTCCATTTATGTATAATTTCATTCTGAAATATGGTCAGATCTTCATCCAAGTTACAATTATGAACAAACAAAATCTATTTTAACTAATAACACACAAATCATTGTTTTGCTCTTGTGCATATTGAAAATATCATTCAAACTATCACAGTGTAGGCTGGAAAAAGTATGTGAACCCTTCGGCTAATGATATCAACAAAAGCTAACCGGAGTCAGGAGTTATCAAACCTAGAGTCCAATCAATGAAACAAGACGAGAGGTGTGGGTTACAGACTCTTTAGCTTACAAAAAACACTAACATATTTTGAGTTTGTTCTTCACAAGAAGCATCTGCTGACGTGAACCATGCCTCACAAAAAAAGAGAGATCTCAGAAGAACTATGATCAAGAATTGTTGATTTGCATTAAGCTGAAAGGATCAGAAAGTCATCTTAAAGAGCCTAGATCTTCATCAGTCCACAGTCACACTCTGTATACTCTCTACAAATGAAGATGATTTAGTTCTGTGGCTACTCTAGAAGTGGACGTCCAGGTAAGATGACAAAAGCTCACCACAGATGATCAATAATGTTAACAAGGAAGCTCAGAGTAACAGCTAGAGGCTTAAAGGAATCTATATCTAACATCTCTGTTTATGAGTCCACCACACACAAATCATGGTGCATGGTTGTATGGATCATGGTGTCCTGCCACAGAGACAACGGAAGAAGGTGTTGTTCTCCAAAAAAACATTGTTGCACCCCTGAAGTTTATAAAGAGCACCTGGAGCACTCTGGATCTGGACAGCTCGACATCATCAAGGGGAAAATTAATTCCCAGGTTTATCCAGGTATCTTCCTGGATAATGTCAGGGTGGCTGTCAACCTGCTTAAGCTCAGGAGAAGCTGGGTGATGCAGAAGAATAATGACCCTAAACATTAGAGTAAATTTAGTTCATAATAAATTCAGACAAAGAAAATCCACCTTCTGGAGTGGTCCAGTTATAGCCCAGACCTTCATCCAATAGAGATAATGTGGAATGACATGAAGAAAAACATGCAAACCAGATATCCAGACAATATGTCTGAGCTGAAGCAGCTTTATAAAGAAGAAGGGTCCAAACTTCCTCCTGAACATTGAGCAGCTCTGATCAGCAGCTGCTGGAAGCTCTTGTTTGAGGGTATTGGTGCCAAATAAAGTTCAACCAGTTATTAAATCCAAGAGTTCACTGACTTTTTCCACCACCACGGTGAATGTTTAATTGTTGTATTCAATACAGACAAAAAAGATTATAACTGAAGATCAGATCACATTTTATGACAAATCAGTACAGAAAACCAGGTAATTCCAAGGGTTCACATACTTTTTCTTGCCACTGTATGATATTCACAATATTCTGCGATCACACACGTGAAATTAGTCTAACATACCAGATGGGGGTTGGGATTTAGTGATGACGCTTTAGCACCTAAAATACCCCGAAGAACCCAACCATCTCCAGTTTGTTGAAGAAAATGCATTCAATGTCAGTAATTAATAAATTAATATATGGATAATAAGATATACTGTAGATATTCACAAACAACCAAAACAACAAACCAATTTGTGGTGGGTGATGATATGAAGTGACTTAGCATATGTGAACACTTCACAATCAAAGCTTTAAACCATCAAGTCATTCTAATGGTAATTCCATTTGACATGAAGGCAGTAATCACATGAGAGATTAATCACTGTAATGGAGGCAAAAGGCAGTAATCTGCTTTACCACCACGACTGAGATGACCAATGATAAACAGCTCCCATCTTGGGTCTTTTACTACAAGCTGAGCTTACCTTGCAGTACCCAGTAGACCTCTCCATGGTCAGCCAGCCTCTCTAGATGCACAGCAATGGCTGTCAGGTTGACTTTGTACTGCTGCAGGGTCTCGCTGCTGCCACTGTGCAACTTGATGGACCACTGTAGATAAATAGATGGAATTAAGATTGATATACCTGAGCCAACACCTTGGTCTTGTCTTTCACAAAATGTGCAGCAATGCTAAGCCCTTGTTTATACTGCTTACTGTGGCAGCTCCAAGGATGACAACATCTGGCTTAGCTGAAGCTTCCTGCAACACACAAGAGAAGCTGCAGTCAGAACTGCAAATCCCTGTCCAAACAATTATGAATTTTTGTCTATTTTTGAACATGTGTCTATGAAACTTCTTTGATTAACAATGTTCCCCACTTGTTCATAACAGAACTTAACATCTAAACTCACATGTGTCCATGATATCAAGCGCTCCTTCATCGAATTATTTGCCTCTGGATACCAAAGGAAGTCCTAAACATAAAGAGGACGGAGATGTTTTAACTTTTATCAGTGTTTTGACAGACTGAGAACAGGAGATAAAAACACATCCAGAAATAGCTCACCACATTCACAGCAGAACTCTCTTCTTCAAAGGAAATGTCCTCATGCTTCAGACATTACATGGGGACAGACAGAGAGAAAGTCTGTTAGGCAGATAGTGTTCCTGTTTTTTCCCAGCTTGAGATCAGACCAAAATAGTTCAGACTGCTGCATAATTGCCATGCATTCCAGTGCTTCAGTTTTTTTGGTTTCACTTTTTCTGAGCAAACCACTTACTATTAAATTTTTGTTGCAGCACATTGTCTCAATGCCACCTATTTCAGGAAGTCTTAAGGCCTCAATATATTTACACACTTTAATAAAATCAAATCTGTAATGACATACAGTAGGAAAAAATGATCAGTGGGGCTATTTATCACATTAAGGCCATAGGTTGAGGTTTGGTGTCAGGCTTAAGAATAGCAAGTAAATTGATCACAAATGGTAGAATATTTTCAGATTCAGTGTAAATAGCAGTGAATGATTAGCCAGGCCTACATTTAATAGGGTGTCATTCTGGTAAATAATCAGAGCATTGCAAAGCCAAGAATAAACATGATTGTTTTCCCAGTCAGAAAATGTTTGAGGCAAAATCCTCAATCAGTGGGGAAGTGTACAAGGAAAAATGTTTCTTACAGAAGACACAAGGAGCCCTCCTTCCAAAGTGGTTGTGACTAAAACAGACATCTCTACCTATCTGTCTGCTCTTCTAGACATATTTTTAGTTGGTTTTGCCAGAATACAGTTGTACAGTTGCAGGCTATATGGTACAGGACATAGTAAGTTAAAAAGTTATTTTATCATTCTAGGTCAACTTGTTTTGATCAGATCAGAGAGCTCAGTACACATGAGCAGAGAGTAAATGGAGGAATAACTGACAGTGTCTGACCTTTGTCATTTTTTTTTATATCAAGTTGTGCTTCAGATATGTAGATCTGTAGATTTGTATGCTGTTTACCCTCATCACTTTTTTGTCCCACCACTCTGCTGAAAAAATGACCTGACAAAAGCACATGGCGCCGTTTCTCATAATTACCTTGTTTCCTTCTTCTCTTCGCTCAGGGTCAATAATTTTGATGAAGGAGTAAAATAGCTGCCTGATTCGTGAATCACCAACAAAGGCCACCCGCTTTTCAGCAAGGCATGTTTTGGCTTCACTGTAAGACAAAAATGATAGTGAGGAATCTGAAAATTGTACATCTTAACAACTGCAGATGGCAATCATTCATGTGCTTGGTGGTTCATTGTCTGTCTGACCATGTAATCTTTTCAATTGGTTATTTGGCTCATGAATCACCCATCCACCCTTACAGACAGATACACACACACAGATGCACACATCTCATCCATCACTGCTACACACTTAGATCTTTATCTGAAACATAAGAGCAACCTTGCACAGTTAGTGTGACTCACATGCTTTTGTATTTGTGCATCATACAGCCATAAGGCTGCCATACATTCTCCCCCAAGTAACGTCCTCTGGACAGCAGCCATTCACATGAGTCTCCACCTGGAGGCAAGACACAGAGAATCTACCAGTAAGACCAAACAAAAGCACTAATCTCGCTTTCATCCACAGTTTCTCTGTAACTATGACTGCAACTTGCTGTCTCAATAGTACCATGGCTTTTCATTCAGTGCTGTCAAAAGACTAGGACACAATACAGGGCTCTGCTGGGGGCCATAATATAAAATGAAGTCATCAGTTATTTAGCTCAACCATAAATCTCTCCAGCTATTCATTTGTGTGCAAAATGAATAGAGCCATCTCCAACTGAATCACTCCATAGAAACAGGCGAACATGAAGGATCGGCAGGCTGGCGAGAGACGTGGGCATTTCAGTGTCATCGCCAGCCAAAGCAGCTGCTCTCAGCGTGTACACAGAGGTCTCTGGTTCCTATCCATTTTCATGAACAAAGTCCACTCTATGCGACCCAACTGCGAGGTGGATGTATGCCATGCTAATATTTCTTTATAGTACAGCTCTTGGCTCTGTGCCATCACTGTCATTCTCAGTCTTTCGGGTGCGGGATATGCACAAATTAGATCCAGCCCTTTACACCTGAAATTAAGTCTCCAGTCCAGTAGGCGTTTCTGTCTCTTATATTTGCCCGACAAACCAATACAAACTAGCGAAAGACCTGCGGCAGAAAGCAGGCTGCTATAATACTGTTCAAAGCCACTAAAGCTACAGTTTTTTACCGTTAGTTAACGGTACAACATCACATTTCTGACAAGCTTAATTGATACTTTAGCTTTTGTTTGGAAAGTAACTGACTGGCTGGTACTGTCGATGTAAATGGCTTTGCCCTCCGAATAATAAAAACCTTGTTATGACAATTGTTCGCTACATCACTCTACACACGGCTTCCCCAGCAATAATCAAGCGTGTGCTGACAGGAGCATGTAAACACAGCTAAATGCAGTGTTAGCTTGACTCAGCTAGCCAGTGGGACAAAGCCGATTTAAGTTCATGCTGCTGCTGTTAGTGAATTTAGTCAATGCAAGGACCTATCTGCTTTATATAAAGTTTACAGCCTGTATGTGTCACGTTTAAAAAGCAAAACTGGATAACGGCACTGAACCGACCCGCAGAGAGAAGTACAGAGCCGCTAGCTGGCTAACGTTAGCAATAGCTTGTGTCAAGTGTCTCACTGGCTGCATCAATAGTAAGTTTAATAAACGGAAGACCACTTACCTCCATAATATCGCGAAGCTGTGTGAAACACAAGGAGTAAAATAACGACTACTAGCGATATTAATTTGGCATTTTTAATGGTGAAATGTTGATTTATTTCGCGTTTGCCCAGGCTATAGGCCAGGACCGCCATCTTTGCTCCTCCATGACAACAAGCAGCTGTGCAGTCTAGCGGCGGTGGCGCTCCTCCCGGTGCACCACCTGCCCCGTCTGCCTCAAGCGACACCGCCTCCTTCTCCATCACTGCTGCTCTAAGCAGCTGTAGATCAAAATTAGATACAGGAAGGGCTTACGTTTAATTTAATCCACCAGATCGTTCAGGCAGACCACAGTCTATTTGTGATAGTCTTTTAGAGGACAAAGTGCAGTACCTTCAACAAATATTTGACAACAAAATTTCGTATTCTCTGCCTCCACTCACTGACGGGACTAAGAGTAATTGGGTACTGTTTATATAGTCATAAGTACATTATGTTCTATATGGGTGTAAACTGTCACAAAAGGGGGACAAAGAAGGAATTTTTGTAGGTTTACCAATTTTCTAAGAAGGTGACTGTTATTAGGAGAGGCTTGCTATTCATTCTCAACATAACCAAGGCCTGCTAAGTGATTGAGTTGGGAGGGAATTATTGGGAAGGGGAGGGGGCTGAACATAACTGTTTTTATAGTTGCTGAGCCCAGCAGTGGGCTACATCAGCCAAGGACCCCCCTGCCTCCTCAGCTCACTCCTCAGGTCCAAATCTTATGGTAAAGTCTGTATTTTTCATTAGAATATTTTATGACAACTATAATAACTTTATAATACCTGTTATGTAGCCTATTATCCTGGTTTGAACCATATTCAGGATATGATAAAGAACAGAACATGATAATACATATCTCTGTATGATTCTAACATGATCAGGTTACTGGTCATCTGTGGCTTTGCTGCCCCTCTGTCATTTGCCTACTGATTTGCCAACTTTCAGTGCACAATTAAGGCCAACACAAAATTGAGAGGATGTTGGTGTGAATCAACAAGCAAAAAGGTTAGTTAATTTCAGTGCAGCCTAATTGTTTATCATTACAAGCTTTCTTTTGTTAAACCCACCAAATCACTGATTTACGATTATGATTAATCCTGGTATGGATCCTATACCATACTACTACTATATCCTAAAGTTTGAAACCCTAAAATGTGTGAAACCTTACTCTATTTGTCAAAGGACAAAACATTGCAATTTATGTCTTTCTTTATGTTTTTCTTACATCTAGACCCCATCAGACAAGGTCAAAAACCACTTTACAGACTTTATGGACAAGATTAATGGAGAGTGTGTGAAGATTGTTCTGCAGAAGTATTGAAGTGGGGTCAGTATAGAGTAGATGCAGTTCATACTGCCTACCAACAGAGGTAGATAAAGGTCACATAACCTACTGTGTTTGCTGTGACTTCTATAATGCTTATTCTAATTATTTGATTATTTATAATGTGTGTGTGGGTGTGCTGTGCTGGGTGTTATGTTTGGGCCTTAAAACAATCAAATGCACAATTATGGAGGTCTCAGCAGTGTATACTGTATCACCAGACCTAGTTCTGAAAATGGTCAGTCATTATTTAACACTGCAGTTTGTATCAGTAATGCTTGGGCAGCATGACAACAATTCAAAGTATTTCCTGGAACCTGCCAAGTGAAACATGGCATAATGTAGCAAACAGCCAAAGTCTTCTGTCACATCACTTACATACTTTGACTTGTATTGCTTCACCTGTGTGTACACATGCAAATGTTCTTTCTTAATGTAGAGATGTAAACAAGTAACATGCAAACATGATGATTTTAATGTTGCAGTTTGTCAAGGTAGAGCTAATTATAACTACTCTATCCTTACTTTTGGGCAAGGATGAATTACCAACCGGGCAAAGAGAACATCTGCCCCAGGGACCTAGAACCCCAACCCATGGGGCTAGGTAGTACTCCATCAAAGGAGTACTGGTTGGTCTCTGAGTCTTGTGCATAGAATGAAGGAGGGGGCAAAGGGGTTAATCTGCAATAATGCATAATAAACTTTTAGACAATCATGTAAAATCTTGTAATTAGCAACTAAAGCTACTAGACAAATGTAGTGGTAAAGTAAAAAAAAGTTAAAAGTACAATATTGCCCTCTGAAATGTTGAAGTATTAAGTAGCATGAAGTGTAAAGTAAAAGTATCTCAAACGTGTCCTTAAGTACAATACTTGAGTAAATGTACCTTGTTAATTTCCACCATTGCTGCTGAACCATTAAAGGTCCAATCTCTGGTTAGTTTTATACATGAAAGACACTGCAAACCCCTAGATCCTAAACACACATCTTGGGTCCAAGGCACCCAAGTCTTTGCTGCTCAGTGGTCAAAGAGAATATGTTTATTTAACATCCCCTGAAGCTAAATGTATTGTGCATAAAGCAGGGATGCTAATAGAAAAATGCCACACTGCCCTCTAGTGGTTATTGAAAGTGCTGCAGGTGACCTTTTATGTGTGAATACCTTCAATTCACCTCGAACAGAGCTGCCTCTACATGCGGAGATATTATTAAATTAGTTTTCACAAATTCTGCGTGTCCCAGTTCCCTCAACACACTGAACTCAACAAAACAAGTAATTTCTGTAGAAATGCCATGTCCCCATATTGAATCTAACTAAGATCCATGTGCATGCATCACTGCAATTCAAGCCTTGATCCAAATCACAGAAATTTATTTGGATGCAATAGCTGTATTATGCAAGAAAAGGCAACATAAGAGGATGCATATTTACAAGAAACAATGCACGTTAGTAATCACACATTGGCATGGACAGTGTAAACAGAAATTTGTAAAACTGTACATTAAAATTGGATGTACCGTTGAAAAGCAAGATAAAGGGGGGAAGGTAAATCAGGATATGGCTGTGCTTCCACAATAGGAAGATGTTTAAGTCAGTGATGATATGTAAATCATCAGCCAAACTAGAACCAAAATACAGTGACACACCTTCAATAGTGTCATTAAAACATGAAAGCACTTAAGTCACTGAGTAGTGTGTTTTGGAACATTGGACATGCTTTATTTCAGAACTTTTCACAATTTATTTAAACATCTCACATATACAAAATAGGTACAATAGACTTTGTGGTGTCATTTTTTTGAGAGAGAGAGGCCGCCTAAAAACCATTCAGAATTGGATGAAATATGTGCTGTCAGTATGAACACTGGGTGTGGGATTTGAAGAGTAAAAAAGCCTGAACAAAAAACCAAAACAAAAAAAAAAAAAACTTCTAGACAAAAAAAAAAAAAGAAGAACAAAACAAAATAAAACAAAACAAAAACCAGACATTAGGTTTAGGAACATTCCACCTGCTTAAAGTGGGGGAGCATCAGGGGATGAATGTAAGACTCCTCAAAGGTCAATACAAAGTAATACAGTAAAAAGTGGTTTGCTCCACAGCTGCATATTAGCACCATAGATCTCTGCTTCAAGTAACTGAGCACCTTCCGATACGGGACAAACCTTGAAGCATTAGAAGTCATAACATCTCGGTTGTGGACCCAAGTTTTGTCAATAGTATTTTCTTTAGGTACAGGCATGAGGTAGTTTAAACCTTTTTTCATGGAAATTGTGGTTTTAAACCTCCTCTTTGGAAGATATACAAAGACCACAAAGTGATGCATACTTTCAGCGTTTTTATTACACTTCTTTTATTTTTTACAAAAGGATGACATGATGTCCCACAACAAGGTGTTTTCCCGCGTCCCTTTGGGTTGCTGTATTAATTTGCATTGCACAAACGCTCCGTTCAGTCCGTTCAGTCCTCTCCGATAGTTGCCCATCTTAAGCAAGTGGATGCGCAGAGAGAAATCAGCATTCAGTATAAAAAAAACAACACAGAAAGAAGGGCAGAGATTTTGTTTTTTCGTTCTTTCTCTCTTTTTGGTGTTAATTTATCATGAGTCTATTTATTTGAAACAGACTGGGCCAATGTCCAAACCAAACTCCTGATCAGCTCCACCAATGTCCAAAGGTGCAATGTCGAGGATGGGCAGGCGAGATGGTTTATTTGTTCTGTACTCAATCACTGTCTTGCTCCACTCGCCAGTGTGTCTCTGCAGGGGAAGAGGAGAGAAAAGGGAGAATTTCAGAATAGTGTAATGTTGCAAAAGGATATAAATTACACATCTTTAAGACAGCTTCGTCTCATCTAACCAAAATTGCCTTAATTTTACTGTTCATCAACAGAACCCTTTCTACTCTCATGAGGAAGAATGACAGTGAAGCAAAGAGCTACTCACAGTGCAGCCGTCCTCCAGCACGGAGAAGGTGAAGCGGCTGTTGCCCTCGGCCCTCAGCTCCACATCGTTGGAGCCCTGGAGCACCACGGCCTTCTTCAGGTTGCCGCTCTCGCCATCCATGTAGGCAACGCTGTTCTTGCAGTGGTAGGTGATGTTCTGGCTAGCCTGGTTGGACAGGAGGCGCATGAAGGCGAGCTGGGTGGCCATGCTCTGGGGGCTGAGGGTCTCATCATTGTAGGTAAACTGCAGGAAGGAAAGAAAAACAGTAAGTATTTCCTATATTATTTCATATATAGAAAATATTACAACTGTTGTTTTCTGGTCTTGTGTGGTGCTGAAGCCATGTTCATTTCAACTTAAGCCCACTCCAATCTCACCTCAGTACCGCCGTTGATGGTCTCTCCGAACCAGACGTGCTTCTTGCCCTCGGTGCTTCTGAACCAGTTCTTGCGGGCGATGCTCTCAGGGTGGGCATAGATGCAGGTCTCGCGGGTGGTGAAGTCACAGAAGACCTTGATGGCGTCATTGATGCATCCCTGGTTGGGGTCAATCCAGTAGAAACCTACATAATAGGAAGAGAAGAGAGTTAAATTGATGGGAAAACAGCATTTCAGTGTTTTTGTTCCAAGATGAAATAAGAAATATAAACCTTACTAAATATTGGGGTATATTAACCCCACGGTGCTATGAAGTTGAGCTTACCGCTGCTCCAGTCGGGGTGGCTGAGCTTGATGTCACGGCAGGTGCGGGCAGGGTTCTTCCTGGATCCCTCAGGGGTGAGCAGGTTCTCAATCTGGGTGTTGAGGGACTTGATGGTGGCATCAACCTCGTAGTCCTTGGCTCTCAGAGCGGGC